CTTAATTTATTTATGAGAATGGAATGAGATACCATATCAAAGGCCTTGCTAAAGTCCAAGAAAACGACATCCACTTCTACTCCTGTGTCTAAGCATTTTGTGACCCTGTCATAAAACAAAACCAGATTGGTCAGGCATGATCTACCTGCTACAAATCCATGCTGGTTGCCCTGCTGCATTATTTTTCCTGCTGGACACAAATATGATCCTTCATAATCTTTTCAAAGACTTTTCCAAGGATGGAGGTGAGCCTGACTGGCCTATAATTACTTGGATCCTCCTTCCTCCCCCTCTTGAAAATAGGGACCACATTAGCCCTTTTCCAGTCCTCCGGGACCTGACCCAAGTGCCACAAGCGCTCAAACAGCCGTGCCAGTGGTTCTGCTATGACACCGGCCAATTCCTTCAGTACCCTTGGATGCAGCTCATCCGGGCCTGCTGACTTGAATACATCTAATCCGTCCAAGTGCCTCTGCACCAAGTCAGCTTCTACAGTTGTTGGGCTGGTGTCCCTCTGATGCCCATCTACGAACCCATCAGGAGGCTTATCTTGAGCCCTGTTCAAGAACACTGAGGCAAAAAAACTCATTGAAGAGCTCAGCCTTGTTCTCCCGTCTGTCACTAATTGCTCCTCCTTGTTCAGTAGGGGTCCTCTGCTGCCCTGTGCCTTCCTTTTACTCCCTACCTACCTAAAAAGGTTGTTTTTAATTTGTATTGCCAGCCTCACCTAGTAGTTGCTTTGGCTTTTCTAATGGCCTCCCTGCAAGTGCGGGCCAAGTATACTCCTCCTTGGTAGCTTCCCCCTGCGTCCACCGCCTATATGCCTCTTTTTTTGCCCTTAGGCTCCCCTGGATTTCCCTGTTTAGCCTGCAATTTTTTTGGTTCCTTTCCCCCTTTTCCCTCATACTGGGATAGTCTGCCTCTGCGCCTGAAGGATCGCTTCCTTTAGGAACGACCACCCTTCCTGAACAACCCTCTCGCCAATACTCCTATCCTGCAGTGCATCATTGACTAAACTCCTGAGCACGCTGAAGTTAGCCTTCTTAAAGTCAAGCACTTCCACCCTACTAGTTATCTTACCCATCCTACACCGTATGATGAATTTGACTGATTGGTGGTCACTGTCCCCAAGGTGACCACGAATCTGCAGCTCCACTACCAGGTTCTGCCCCGTAGCCAACACCAGGTCCAGTAAGGCATTCCCCCTAGTGGGACCGTATACCTCCTGTGTTAGGTGAAGGTCCTGCACATAGGTTAAGAACCTACATGAGCAGTTGGATTTGGCTGACTGCTCCTCCTCTTGTTTAGTTTCACTAGAAAATATAGGTAAGATCCTTGTTGCTGCAAGTATCTCCTAATTTCATTTGGCTGCAGTAGCATTTCATGACTGCTGGTGACTCTACCTACATCCAATGCAGTTACACTCTTGGGCACCCTTACTGAGGATGGACCAAAGGACAGACCTAGAAAGGACATAGGCTCCTAAGGCAGGACTTGGGTGGGATTGAGGTGCCCAAATCCAAAACTGCAGTCCTGAAAACCTGCACTCAGCTGCTGCCTAACTTCAAAGGTGCCTAAACTCCAAAGGTACCTCAGTTGTTTTCTCCTTCTGGTTCCCAGGCATCTAAAGACACACTTGTCTGTGCCATAGTGCCCCAGTCATAACAGAAGTGAGCAGCTCAGCACTTACCTCAACCCTAAGCCAGTCTGGATCTAGAAACTAGATAGTCTTCCACCTACACAACACTATTCAGTCAAACAAGGGCTCACCCAGGACAATTAGGAGCCTCTAGGATTAGGTGCCATCTGTCAGCACTTAAATTCTGCCTGACTCCTTCTGCTTGAGCTGCAGTTTCCAGGCTAAATTTCTTCTACGAAGTCATCAGTTCCCAGAGTTCCTGCTCTAGTTCCCCTCTGCACCCGGAGACAACCCCTCCCCACTCACCCAGTATCCAGGTTGGAACAAATTGCCCCATGTGATACTGCTGCTCATCTGTAACTACCCTGAGTTTCTCATAGAGCATCACCTTTCTTCTTTTCATTCAGCTCCATCATGATATTCCTCATAGTCCACTGGCTATTCTCTTATCATTGGGATGTGGTTTTCAATACAGTCCTGTATTTCTTTAATTGTTTTCCCATTGCAAAATTCATCACTTACATCTTAGACAGTCCACAAGGAGGTCTGGGGCTGAGAGGCAATTATTTGACTTCCTGACTTACAATGAAATAGCCTGAAGCTTGATATTTTAGTCATAGCCTATGACAGCAGAAAACACAGATCTACTTGGAGCAATTCATAAAAGTGCCCAGATAAAAATGAAAAATCCTTCATTTACATGTGAAAATAAAATCTTGTGTCTTTGCTCAAGAAAGGAACATTTTTTTTTCTTATTTTTTATACAGTTCAAGTTAATAACAAAAATGTGTTCATGGTAACATTTTAAATTATCTTTTTTAATTTAGATGAAATAAGGCAGTTAATTAAGGGATAATGTTCATAGTGGTAGAGCATACCAAGCAATAAATGGTTTTTGCAGGTGATTAAGTACTAAGTCTTTTGATAATCATGCAAGAAGTTTATTGCTAGTGCATACTCTAGTCAATGAATATTATTCTTATATTTTAATTATACAAGATACGATGATGTAGGAAGCCACAAATCTGGAAAAGTTAAAAAGAAAAAAAGAAAGAGAAGTAAAAAGAGGAACACAGGTCTTATATGTAAGGTACAAGACTGGGGCTCCAGAACAGAGTTGCTTTGGAATTAGAGTTACTGTCCCAGGAGCATCTTGAACAGTTTGAATTTTGTTCTAAATTCTGAAGGACGATGAAGACACAAACTTTTCTCCCTCTCTCCCCGCAACAGGGATTCCGGCAAATTTTGGTCCAAAAACATATAAATGTTTTGTTTAGATAATAACAAAATACAAAGCACATATAGAAATTGTATTAAATTATCATACCCATAGTAAAATGTGACGAGGTGACCAAAATGAGCTGAAATGATTCATTTGGACACGTTACATCACATTTCATCAAAATGGGCACGGTCTCGTGTTAGCCTTTCATTCTGATAAAACTGTTCTCCCAACATTTTTTTCAGCCAGGTGCTATTTAATAGACTGCTTGTATAACCTTGTCAACTCACTTAATCCCTCTGTACCTTAGTATCAATTTATGCAACAGGAATAATATTTCCTTTCTCCTACCCTTTGTCCATCTTGCCTTGCTCTTGAGAGAAAAGCCTGTCTTGAATTACATCATTACACAGCACCTCCAGCAGGGCCTTCATCTTGGTGAGGACCCCGTCATAGGTACAAATAATGGTAATATTAGGGCTGAAATAGCCTTTGATGCCACTGTCTCATAATTTGTAACTTCAGCTGTGAAGTCACAATGGAGATATAGATCACATCAGCTATTATTTGAGATAATATTTAAAGTGCCAGATTTTGAAGAGCTCTGTGTATGCCTTTGTGACTGCACAGAAATGGCTGAAGAGCCTTTCCAAGTTACCTTTTCACAGACTTCTTTTGTTTTGAGATTGAGTTGTTTTTTTTTCTTCCCCCCCCCCCTTGAGTTCACATGGAATATAACTGACAACCAGCTAGGCTAAAAGTAGCAAAATGAAAAATAATGAGACTGGGGAGCGACAATAAGCACAGGGATTATGGCCTGAATGGAAGCACAGCACTGAACACTGAGAGGCAGAGAAAACTAGCTGTAATTTTGGATAATGCACTTAAATCATCTGCACATTGTTTAGCAGCCATTAAGGAAAAGGCAAACAAGGATTTGGAGTAGGTCAGTGAAGCTGTACAGATGTGCCCCCACTGCTCTCGCCTTCAGAATAACTTGGAACCTCATCTGGAAGAGTGGGAGCACATGTAATCATCAATTTGGGCTACATGCAATGTCTATTAAGGCCCCCGTTGTCTTTGGATCAAACCCACATGAGGACGTCGCTGAGATTAGAAGGGCAGATGGCAACCATAATCGCAGTGGGTTTCTATGGGACTGATCTGTAATGAAGGATTAGTTAAACTTGGCTTCTGTAGCTTACATTAAAAGGGGATGAGGGTGGGGGCAGAAGAGAGAGCCAGAGTCCTTCTGTGCCACAGAGGCACCCTGGCAGCAAACAATGAGAGAAATACAACTGTTTGCCTTGTCCCATCATTCTCTTTGAAACATAATGATTTGAAAAAAAGAAGGAAAATGTGAGTCCATCATGCAAACTCTCAGGTTGGAAACATGAAGAGAAGGTGCTGGTTTCTTTCCTAAAGCCTAATCCACACTACACCCAAGCCCTTCTGCAGCGACACAACCCTCTTCTCCACTGGCAGAGCTGTGCCACCTCTGCCAAGTGGAAAAAGGCTCCTGCCACCATCCAGCAAGCAGCCTGAAGGAGTGTGTGAAAACTCCTACCCCTCTGTCCTGCTTCCGTGGTCTGTTCAATACCTGTTGCCTTCCCAGGATGCACTTTGTGTTCTTGTGCCACACCTGCTGAGTGGAGCCATGAAGAGATGCATGAAAATGCAAAGGCATGAAATCACTATGGTGACTTGGCAGTTACAGACACTGTCTGCCCAGAGAAGTCTTAGCAAGATAAGTAAAGACCAGGGGTCAAAATTCACTCCCCCTTGCACAAAGCCAAGGCATTGAGAAGTCTGCAGAGCAGCTGGGAAGGCAACATTGTAGGTCCTTCCCACTACTACCAGGGATTTTGCTATTACAGATCCAAGGGTTCTCCAAAGACCAACCCATACTCACCACCAAAAGTAGCCTCATGAGTCAGCCCTGCATGTGAACACCAGGACCACAAGAAAGAGAGGTAGGTACAGGCCTCCCCTGTTACTAATCACCTGGCTGATACAAAGAGAAGCCTAGTCCAATAGATTTGGCACCTGTTCTCTGCAGCTTTCTGAACTTCAACCTGACAGGCTTTTCCTCCTAAAGATGGGGGGGAAAAACTATACAGAAAGTCAGTTCAAGAACATACATTAAAGGAACTAGAGATCAAAGGACAGGTCAGCTTCAAAGAACTTGGAGCTGGAGTCTGTTTGGATGCAGGTCTCTTGCATCCGCAAAATTGGGGGGGAAATTGGTGTGATTTCTGGTATGTCCAGTCCCAGGCTGAAATAGTGCATGGGTAGCCTATTTAATACTGCAGCTACCATTTGTGGAGGAAGACAGAGTGCCTTAAAAGCTGACTTTTTAGACTCCAAAAATGATTTGATCTGCAATTGGCTGGTGACTGGTAGTAGAAAGAGCCTATACCAGTTCACCTATCCTTAGACCTGATACACACTACAACACTTTTCCAGCAACACCTTGACTTGGTGTCCTTCGGCATTCTGCACTCAGGGTGTTACGACTGTGTGCCGCAAAGAAGTCCCATTTATCCTCTGAATCTACAGAAGCGCACACATTTCAGAAATTCAGGCTAACCATCCACCTATCTTCCAACAGTGACTTTGTAACATAGGGCATTCATACATGCTCTGGGGGCAGGGGAGGGCAGGGGAGCTTTAATTAGAGCACTTTAATTGAAGTGCCCAGAGTGTTTTGTGCATCAGCATCCCTGTGCTTAAAAGTGGCAGTGGGGGCACTTTAAGTAAAGTTCATTCGACGAGCTTTAAAGTGCCCCCAACACCATTTTTTAGCACGGGGATGCTGATACACGAGATGCTGGAGGCTGCCGGAGCGCGGTAATTGGTTTCACTTTACAGTTTGGGAACAACGAATTTCCCATACCCTATCCCACTTCTTCGGTACCTAAATGGGATCCTATTCCACCCTGTTCATGTCCCCAAAGCCATCAACATGCCTAGAACAGCAAGCAGGTGAAGGATGCATCTACTTTTAAAAAACAGTTAAGGCTGCTTTTTGTGAGTTAGTCTTCAGACTAAAGAAGTGGCATATTACAAAAAGAGGGATATAAGGGTTCTTGTAGGGAGCTGAGTGCAGTGGACATGTAAGTGCCTAATACGGCCTATTCTAGCCCATACAGGTTGAGTCTCGACTCACTTCAGTGTCACCTTTGTGTAGCAATTCAGGGGAATTATGCTTAGCACACATATATCCATATCTGGACCCATAGACCTCCCAATACACCCTTTTTAACAGAGGAAATCCTCATAAAACATACACTTACTGTATATTACATATTAAAGATGGGACCCTACACATCATCTCCACTCAGCACCCCTCCAGGCTCAGTTGAAGCCTGTGCATACCATGTTTATGATCCTAGAGAAAGGTTCATAATTTAACCTGGAGAGAAATGCACAAAAACCTTGTTTGTTTGTTTTTTGATTATTCGCATATGTGAGAGTTAACAGAAAATTGGCTAGGTAATACCTTCCTCTAAACAGAGTTATAATCTGGAAAAAAAATATTAAGAGCTCAGCATTTCACAAGTCCAACCAGACATGCCTCCAGCTATCCTTTTATTTTTCCGTCCACATTTTGAAATGCTACATTCAAGAAAATGTATTGCTTTTAAATCATGTATACATGCATGTTTATTAAGTCATTACCAGTGCCTGCAGTCCAGAAAATCATTGTGGACTGCAATATCACATGTGCATCGAGCAATTAGATGAATAAATTAACCCTGAAAAAATTCTGCTTGGGGTAGAAGAGAGAAAGGCACGCTGTGAAAGTTATAACAACACTCTGAATATCAAATTTGTTTTGTATTTGAATAAATGATGCCTGTGTAGTGCTCACAGGGAAAAAAAAGAACTAATGATTATGATTACCTGTATCTTAAATACCTGAACGACCATGGAGAAAACAGTGAACTCACTCTGTATTTCTCTTCCAAAGTGCATTCCTCCTTCAGTGTGATTTTCTATGCTGCAGTGTTCTTTCAATTATTTCTTCCCCTCTCTCCGGAAAGAAAATTGGCAGAAAAAGTTGCCTGCAGGATAGAAGAAGGGTATTTTTATCAGCCTATGACTAGATTAAAAATCCTTTATCTGAAATTCAGCAGAGGATTGGCCTAAATTAAATTCAATCTCCACTTTGCTTCCAGGCTGTGTAAAAAAGTATCTCATGAACTGGATTTTTTTTTTCCTTTTTTTCTCTCT